CAATCTCTCGCATGATACGCAAACATGTCGTGATGTGTCCACAGAGCGTTCAGTCAATGCTTTAAATGCTAAACGATATTTAAACATAATATCATCATCACTCAAAATTGTATCAATCCGTTGATGTCTGTACATATCTACTTTCTCCTGTGCAGAAGTCACAATTTCATTCAAAGTATTCATATCTACATTATTTAAAGCATCATCTGGATTTTCCAACTTTCGATAAAAATATGTAAGTTGATAAATTAAACGCTTCATATATCTTACTTTTGGAAAATGAGGCGATAATAATTGAACTGGAAGAAACATTCCTTCGCAAAGTGTTATATCAATATAACAGCTACGCGTATGACCCAATTTCTTATTTGCAATTTTCATTGTACATTTATGAATATTTTGCATAAGTTTTGGTACATTTTTTAAAGTACATGTATTTACGGTTTCGAGAAACTTCTGATAACGATCAATTAAAAGCGGATCGTTAATTTTACAGCTTGCAGTATTACACATCAGTTTTGGTTCATTGTTTAAGGTACATGTATTTATGGTTTTAAGAGACTTCTGAGAACACGGTCAATTAAAAGCGGATTGTTAGTTTTATAGTCTGAAATATTACGCGACCAAGATTTTTTAGCTTGTTCTGTTGTTAATGGTAATATGTTTACTACTTTTCCTTTTACATTTATTATCAAAGGTTCCAATGGATTTACATCATAATGATATGTAGACTCAATAAAATAATTTTCAGATGAGGCTGTATGTCTAGATTCGCCACATAGTGCAGTTAATTTGTCTTCGATTGTAGAACAATCTGCGACAAGAGTCAAATACACTTCTGATTTCTTTTTAATTAAACTTAACATTTTGTATATATTGCGAATATAATTTTTCCTAATACACATGCACCAACGTACAATTTTTTCGGCTTCCAATCGTTTCTCAATATAACCTTTAATATTGATTTTTTCAATAATATTTTTTATAAATATTTCTGAACAATTACAAAGTTTTATGGTATTCTTCGACCAGAATTGTTTATACATTTTAGTAATTTTTTTAGCAATATTGCAAGTTTTTATTTCAAATGTAGATTTTGTTTTGATTTTTTGTCTTTTTGTCTGATAATATCGCTTATTATAAAGCCATTTGCGATTAGGATCCAATCTTTTTTATCTATCTCGTTCATACTCAAAGTTTTTCCAATAACGCATACGCTTTTGTGCGCGTTTATTTTCTAAATCTTGTTCATATCGATATCGATCTTTAATGCGTTCATCTTCTAAGTTCCGTTGATATCGATTACGCTTTTTAGCGCGATTGTCTTCTAAATTTTGTTTATAACGATCACACGTTTAGCGCGATTGTATTCTAAATTTCGTCTATATCGATTGCGCTGTTTAGCGCGATTGTCTTCTATATTTTGTTTATAACGATCGTTTCACGTCGTTTAGCGCGTTTATCTTCTAAGTTCTGTTTATACAGATCGTGCTGTTCAATGCAATTATTCTTGGAATCTTGCTCATATAAATCATGTTGTTTAGCCTGATTTTGTTCTAAATCTTGTGAATAGCGTGCACGTTTATTTACACAATGATTTTCCAAGTCATGCTGCTTAGTTTCTTCATAAATATCAATGTTTGTTTTCATTAAATTCTTTGAATTATTTTCTGTTAATTGAAATTGATTATTATTTAACTCTTTTTCAGGTTGGTAAATATGACGTTGCTCTTCTAATCGATTCAAATATTGTCGTTCCGTCTCACATTGACGTATAGTACGTTTACGAGATGCTTCAATCTCTTTTGCTTTTATTACTGCTAATGGAAGCACCTTTTGAGGAGCATATTGTGGATTTTGTGGAAAATGCTCAATAACATTAGATTCAAAAATCTTAATTAAATGCAAACGCATTAAACTATGATCATATTTTATTTTTTTGGGTTTAATATTGAATAACAATGAAATTGCAAAGGCTATTGCAAAAACTCCGCAATCGCTACTGTTTGGTTGGTATTGTACAGTAGGAAATTGGATAGAATTTTTTTCGAAGTTATATGTTGGAAATAATCTTTTCAAGAATTGTTCATGATGTCTATGCAATTTTTTATTATTTAATGAATCATAAATAAATATATTTTTTGTATCGTAGTAACTGCACATCCAATGTCCATCTGATGGACCTGACGAACTATGTAATATTTGTATATGTTTTTTATCAATTGGCATAGGCTGAATCGTATCAGGAAGTTGTAATCGCCATGTTTCGACAGGTCTATAATCCGAAAAATTTTGTAATAAATAATCAAAATGTTCCATATGTTTATCAGTTAACCATTCACCTCGAACAATTATATTTTTATCCTCAGGAGATAAAATTCTATATCTTTTTGTCTTTATAGACATTTTTATTATTTATAGATATTTTTTTGAAATATGTAATAATTTATCGGCGCAAAGCAGCCACTCTTTATCGGTGCAAAGCAGCCACTCTTTACAGGCGCACAGCAGCTACTTTTTTTAGGCGCATAGCAGCCTTGTATGGGCGCACAGCAGCTCCTTTTCATAGGCGCACAGCAGCCTTGTATGGGCGCACAGCAGCCACTATTTATAGGCGCACAGCAGCCACTTTTTTTAGGCGCACAGCAGCCTCGTATGGACGCACAGCAGTCACTTTTTATAGGCGCACAACAGCCGTTTTTTTACAAACATAACAGGCGCACAGCAGCCTTATAATTTTTTTCTTTTCTTCTTTCTTGATCTTCTTTTCTTCTTTCTCGATCTTCTTTTCTTCTTTCTTGATCTTCTTTTCTTCTTTCTTGATCTTCTTTTCTTCTTTCTTGATCTTCTTGCACGTCTTCTTAAATAAAAGCGTAATTTTATTTTAAATTTTAATTTGGTTACATAAAGATTTATATGGCAAGGAAATGTTGCCAGTATTCTATTTTTCTATATACGAGATGCGGCATTTAACTTAGTAAATCTGAATACATTGAAAATAATTAAATTCGATAAAACCCACAATTTTCCAAACTTTATTTATAAGTTTCCTAAATTGTATTTCTTTTAAATATATCGTCTATTCATACATTACAAATGATATTGAAATGTAAAATTATAATATATGAATAGATACAATAAAATGAAAAATTGTCAGTTCTTTCATATTTCAGGTTATCATTTTAAATATTTATAACAAATTTGACAAACAAATCTTATTTTTCTTATTAAATAAATTTAATTTATTTATTTTTGTTTATTTTTATTTATTTTGTCATACAAATCAATTTTATTTGTATACGTATTCAAAATGAAGATATTTAATTTATTTCTTAAAATGAAAACGTTAATCACAAACATACAAGAAAAACTACGTACAAGAACTACTCAACAATATAACTCCAATGTAACATACTTTATACATATGTAACAGTTACATTGTTAAATGGGAAATTATAACATTTATGTTATAATTTGTTAGCTTGTTACTTTATTGAGAAATTTTTTATTAGATTCATTTAGAAGTATACTTTTAAAGGCCATTCTCCACAATAAATTGCAAATGTTCCCGTTGCCAGTTGACAATTGCGAATTGATCAATCAGAGCAAAGCAACTTGTCAGCTGATTGGTCAATCCGCAATTGTCAACTTGCAACAAGAACATTTGCAACCTATTGTGGAATGGCCTTAAACGTATAGCAAGCTAGGACATAATTGTATGTACACATCATTTTAAGTAAAAATGTTAATATAAACATGTATTCTATTTTGGATTCTGGGTAGTTATAAAGATACAACATATTCAAGTTTAAAAACGAATACATTTATTAACTTAGAAGAACCGAACTATAAAACAATAATTATATTAAACTTTTACCATTTCCTATTAGTTTAAACTTTTTGGTTTCTGATATAATTATAGAATGGCTCATGTATTTACTTATGCCAAAATTATAATAATTATTTAAAAGTGTAAGCTTAAAAAATGTTTCATACAATTTCATTCTAATAAGTTAATAAATAGATACGTTCTTAGACTAAATACGTATTTTTATGACCAGAATAGAACAATTATTAAACATGTTTATCTAAACTTCTTTGCTTAAAATGATGTGTACAATCATATCCTAGAATCCTGATCATTCCTCCTGAAGCACCCTATTTATATAAATGTACCCATATGTGTGTGTGTGTGTGTGTGTGCGCGCGCGCACGCGTGTGCGTGTGTGTGTGTACTAATGTCGAGCATTTTTTATACATTTTCTATTAAATTTAGACAAAAGTTGCAGGATTTCGAAAAAGAAAAAGTTGACACAGACTTTTTCCTAAACGGCGATTTTCAAGGTTATTTAAAGGTCACTTATATTTTCAAAATAAAATTACCTTAATTTTTCTTATATAAATCGATTCCTCGCAATATTTACTATAAAAAGTTATAAAGGTATAATTTTTACATAATCTTACATAAACTTCGAAATATTACAAATATTTTATTTTATGAAATATTTCAGTTTATGTAAAATTATGTTAACTATCTTGTAAATTATTCATTTTTAGCCATCTTACCCTTACAATTTTTTATAGTGAATATTGCAACAAATCGATAATATATATATAATATATATATAACATAAAGACTTTTAAATGACCTTGAAAATCGCTCTTTAGCAAACAATTTATTAGCGTCATCTTCTTTTTCGCCTTAAAATCCTATTTTTCTTTCCGCTTTCTTCTTCCTAATTTTCCTCTATTAGACTTAGACTTAGGTTTATTCCGGACTCCCCTTGAGGTTGCCGGGGCGTTTTCAGAGGACGCCAACCCCTTACAGTCTCCTTTCTTCTCTCCTCTACCATAATATACAATATATTACATATAATACAAATTCACACATATATCCCCTATCCCCTTTCCCTCTCCTCTCTCTTCCGCTTCCTCGGACAGCTGTTCTCGTCCCTTCTTCCCGTTCCTCTGCCTTCTCTCTCTTGTCCTTTCCTCGGGATTTAGTTTTTCTCAGCTGTCTCCTCCTCCTTTATCCCTCTTAACTTCCGTTTCTCCTTTTCCTGTTCCTTTCCTTCCTTGTTTTCTCTGCCTTCTTCTCTGCTCCTGGTCTCTCTTCTCCGTCCTGTTCCTCTCTCTTTACCTTAAACAGAAGAAACAAACTCTCCTTTCCTCTCCTTCCCTTCCCCCCTTACCTTTCCCCATACTACAATTGTGCCCCTCTTCTTCCTGGCCATTTTGCGACCTTACAATGTATCTGCATCCCTTCCCCCCTGTCCCTTTTCCCCTGTCTCCTTCCTTTCCTATTTTTTCCTTTTCTCTCCTACCCCCCTTTCCTTAACCCCCCCACTCTTCCTATCCTTTTCTTATTCCCTTTTCCTCTCTAGCCTTTGTTCCTCATCTCCTCTTTTCCCTGCTCAGCCCTTTTCTCTCTGACCCCCTTGCCTCTACTCCCCTTTTCCCCTCATCCCTTTACTCCCCCTTCTCTCTAATCTTTGTTCCTCATCATTCCATATCCATTCCTCCCCATTTATCCACATTCTCTTTCCATACACCATCGCGTCCCTCCCTCTTGCCCTCTCCTTTCTCGCCCTATCCATCATCACCCATCTTATCCTCCTTTCCTCCCTCGTCAAGTCCTCATCTACTCCTACCTCCCATTTTCTCCACATCATCCTTCCGTTCTCCAGCAGTTCCCTTTTGTCCTCCTCCTTTTCCATTTCCACCATCACAATCATCTTACCATCATCACCTCTTATGACCTTACTATTCCTACCTTTCTGTCCAATATTACCTCCGTCATCCTTTCCATCAACAACCTCCTCTCCTCATGATCCTCTCCGTCAAGTCCTCTCCATGCCACATTTCTTCTTCTCTTCCATCTTCTCTCCAGCTCCTCCGCTTTCCTCTCTATTCTCTCCCTTTTTTCTCTCTCCTCCCTCTCCTTACTCCTTTTTCCTTCTCTCTCTCCATCACCTTTCCCACACCTCCTCTCCTCTTCTCCCCTTTACTTCTTCCTCGCCTTTCCTGTCTTCTTCCTCCTCCGTCCTCCTCTTTCTTTCCTCCCTGTAACTCTCTTCTTCTCCTCTCTCTGCTTTCTTCTTTTCCGCTGACTTTCCCTTCTCCCTCCTTTTTTCCTCCTATCTCCTTTCCTTCACCCCACTTTACCTTTTCCTCCGTCTCCCTTTCCTCTTCTTTTTTCTTCCTAGCTCCCTTTTCCTTGTCATCTTTTCCCCCCTGCTTCTCGACCTCTTCCCTCTTCACTAGCTCCCACCACTCTCCTCTTCTCTCCTCCGCCTTACTTTGTCCTCCCCTTCTCTCCCCTCTCACCTGCAGTTCCTCTTTTTCCTTCTCTTCCTTATCCTCCCCCGTCTCCTCCTTTGTATCCTCTTCTCCCTTTTCCACTGCCTCCTTTCTTCCAATCTCCCTGTCTCCTTCCTTCTCACTCCCCTTTTCCTCTCTCTTCCTTTCACCCATTTCAGCAGCTCCTCCATCTTCTCTTCCATCCTGTCCATTCTACTCCTTATTTCCTCTCATTCTTCCTTACCCGGCACGCACTGTTCCCCTCTCCTCCTCTCGCCTTTTCACTTCGCCTTCCCCCCCCCTTTGCCTTTCTTCTTCTCCTCCTCTTCTTATTCTTCACTGTTCTCTCGTTTCTTCCTCCTAACCTCTCCTCCTCTCCGCGCTCCTCTCTCCTCTCCTCCCCTCTTTCTCTCTTTCTTTCCCTTCCCGTCTCTTTCCTTTCTCTCCTTCCTCTTCCTCTTCTTCTCTTCTCTCTTTCACCTCTCTTCCACACTCTCTCCTTTGCCTTCCTCCACTTTCCTCCTCCTTTTCCTCTTAGCACTTCTCCTGTTCTTGCCTTCTCTTTGCCTCGTAACCTCTTTCTGCCTGCCTTTTGCCTCTTATGCCATGTGCTCACTTATGCGCCTCTCCTGCGTGATATTGCGCGCGCCGCTTCCTCCTCTCCCGTACTCCTCCTGCACCTTCTTTCCACCTCTCCTACACCTGCTCCCGTTCTTCAGATCCTTCTGCTTTCTCTCTAGGTCCCTAGGTATAGGGATACCTCCCACTCTCACCTTCCCCCTGCTCTCTACTTTCTTCTCATTTCCCTATGTCGCTACTCGCTACTATCCTGCGTATCCTGCGCGGTAGTGCGCGCGCCATTTCCTAGCTTCCTTCCTCTCCACTGCGCCCTCTCCTTCCTTCCCTCTCACCTGTCCTAATTTCCGTTTCCTTCCTTACCATCCTGCCTTATCGACATGATGATCCCTGCCACGTGTACACTTTTCACGGTCGAAATTCCGAAGTATTTCTCTTTCTCCAATTCTACCATATTCCTCTCATTCTCCTTTCCTCCTATTCCTTCCTTCCTTTCTTCCTGTCTCTTTCTTTCTCCACCCATCTCCTGCTCCTCTCGTGCGAGTTATTCTCCTTGTGTCCCCCCATCCTCCACTTGCCTCCTTTTTCTTTCATTTTTCATCACTTATCCTTCCTCTCCTCCCTTTGTTCTTCTCTCCTCTTCCCAACCTCAGTTCTTCAATATTTCTCCTTTCTCCTCAAACTCCTCTTCCTTCTTCCTATTGTTACACAATTTCCGGAGCACTCTCGCACCACATCTTTCCACTTGCCGCCATCTTTCCGATTTTTCGATTTTCCTCTATTATCTACTTTATTCTTTATTATCCTTGCAGGTAGTTCCTTTATACGTAGCTCTTTTTGTACGCAATACTTTTAAACATACCTAATAAAAATAAATAATCAATAAATAGAAATATTAAATATAGTATATATGTACATATATATGTATTATATATGTTCAACACCTTTTGATACATTTTACAAGCTAACAGTGACATCCCAGATAACCATTGAGAACACAAGTTGCTTTCATGTTGCTAATAAAAATGTTACCATCTTGCTACGCATCTATGTCGTCCATTGTGCTATTGTTTGCTAGCATTTGATGTCGGAAATGAAACATTGCACGTTTTAAACATTATGCTGGCATTAGACTTAAATAGATGTTGACAATTAATGCTGACATAATGATAGCAGCATATTTATATCTGTTAGCAAACTGAAAATATATGCTAACATTTTGTTAATAGGATGCTTATTTGATATGTTTCTTTTTTAGCTGAGCATTTGATTACGACAAAATGTTAACGTCATGTTAGCTACTCAAATATTTAATTCATATTCCTAGCAAAGAACCAGCATTGATTGCTAGCATCTTATTTTTATACGTTGCTTGAGCATACTTGCTTATCTGGGATAACATCAATATATTATAATTTCCAATTTAACAATATAATTGCGTTACATATGAGTATGAGACATGTCACATTGCAGTTAGCTTATGTTTACTAGATTGTAATCTTTTTGTTGACAACAGTTTTGTTAATAATAGACATAATTACCTGAACAATCTATAACTGAATAATCTAAATATATATTTCTTCTGCTTTTGTCCTTTCGCTTTCACTTCCTGATATATAATACTTCTAAACGTACCTAATAAAAAATAAATCAATTAAATACAAACATTATATATAAAAATTCAATTTAATACATTCTATTAGTTCTCTCTCTCTCTCTCTCTCTCTCTCAACGTTTTTATTTCTTAAATAAAAAATATAGCACATAACGCATATTCTCTTAAGCATTTAAAATAACCTTGAAAAAACAATGTGTGTACCTATAAATTTTTTCCTGCAATTTTATAATTTTTTTCTTTTTTTCTTCTCACACTACATTTCTTGGTATCAATTCTGTAACTTTTATTAAAGTGAAAATGTGAAAAGTGAAAAATTTCCCCCAATCACACATTAAATTAATGCTAAAAGTTTTTTTAACTAAAATTTTTTAATTTTTTTTTATTTTGTATTAATTTTTTAATTTTGTTTAAGTTTCTAATTTTCAATTTTTTTTATAAATATTTATTCATTTGGCGCAAATTTTAGATATAATTTTTTTTTTTTTAGAAATATTAATTTTACAACATAAAAGTTTTATATTTTCTATAAAATTAATTTTACAACATAAAAGTTTTACATTTTTTATAAAACACTTTAACACATGACGCGTAAACTTGGCGCCCTTTTTTTACCTTTTTTTTAAAAAAAGTATTTTTTTATGGTTTTGTTAACTTGACTAAACCTTTCAACTAAATTATTACAATATTTTGTTAATTAAACATATATTAATGTCTAAATCAAATAAAAACATTAAATTAATGCGTGATTGGCGGAAATTTTTCACTTTTTACGTTTACACTTTGATAAAAGTTACAGAATTGATACCCTTTTCTTCTTCACTTTTCACATTTTACCTCATTCACTATTACTTCACCTATAATGGTTAATAATAAGTGAATTCTAAAAAAATCATAAAAATGAAAAGGTCAGGCCATGTTCAAAAGAAGGTACTCAAAAATTTAAACCTTTAAAAATTTAAACGATCTAATAATAAATTATCACGAAAAATAACTGATATGTTATTCAAGGTGCCAGTTCAAAGTGAACATACGTAAAGTGTATATTATCTAAATTTAGTAATAATATATTACCATGAAAAGTAACTGATATTTTATTCAAGGTGCAAGTTTGTAGCATTCATCATCCACACCTTTCATTTACACTCTACACTTTTATTACACCTTACACTTTTCACTGCACTTTTACACTTTTTACATCTTTATACATTTGTAATAACTTCAATTCATTAACATATTTTTTTTAAAAAAGAAATATATATTTCCGTAACAACACATTCATTTATTTATTTGTTATATATTAATTCTTTTTGTCTTTCGCTTTATACTTTCAATGAATAAACATTACTTTCTTTTTAAATCTGGTGAATTTATTTATAAGTCGCTACATTTTGGTGACCCCGACATACGACGGTGATATTAAAGCCGACGCATTTTAAAAGCTGATGCGGAATAAGTGTCAAGTGATCGTCGTATTTGACGTCTGCGAAATATTATCATCGCTCGGAGGAATTGCTGGAAATTCTGATTTTAAGAGATTCTTTCTCTGGATCTTTGAAACATCAGAGTCGGATTAGTCCTTCACGGAAATTCTCAAATCATTTTATCGGATTCCTGGAACAAGAGGAAAATGCCAATCGATAGATCACCAGTTAGACTCTGTACGGATACACAGATTGATATGGATTTGGCGAGCGGATCAAATCAGGTTGGATCAGATAATATTAATATTTTACCTTCTCAAGCTGGGCATCAAGTGAGTGATCCTATGTTACAAATTCACTCAAATGAGTTTCGTTTATTAAAACTACCGACTTTCTGGCATAAGCAACCTAAACTCTGGTTTGCTTCTATTGAAAGTGAGTTTACGGTTTATCGAATTCGATCAGATGATATTAAATATAGTTCTGTCATTCGTCATCTTGATGAACAAGCCTTAATAAACATATCTGAAGTCATTGAAAATCCACCTGAAACAGATAAATATAATTATTTAAAGAAAATATTAATAAATCGCTTTACGGATTCAGAGGAAAAACGTTTGAGACAAATATTAGCTGGAATTGAACTTAACGATAAAAAGCCTTCGGAATTACTTCGAGAAATTCGTCATTTGTCTGGAGGATCTTTAGCGGATAGTGTTTTGCAAATGATTTAGCCGTAGTAGAAGACGTTCCTCTTGTTAAACTTGCGGAATTAGCCGATAAAATTGCTGATCGGGATGGCGGTTTGCAAGTCGCGGAAGTTTCCAATAATGCAAATAATAAATCTTCGGATTTCGCGGATTTGCTACGAAGAATCGAAGCTCTTGAAGTTTCTCGTCGTCGAGATCGTTCCAAAAGCCGGTCTAGAGAGAATAGAAGATTTAGATCGTTATCGCGTAACAAAGACAAATCAAATAAAGATATTAAAGATACATCAGTTTGCTTTTACCATAAGAAGTTTGGTGATAAGGCTAAACGATGTACTTTACCTTGTTCTATGTCCAAAACATTCTTGGCTTCACAGGAAAACTAAAAACGCCGTTTAAGACTGATGCTGCTTACGACGGTGTTTCTAACAATCGCCTCATTATTTTCGACAGACATTCAAATTTGAATTTTCTTGTCGATACGGACGCTGATATATCGTTGTTACCTAAAAGGGTTTTATTGAAGCCGTGGCATACTAATTTAAAACTTTTTGCCGCAAATGGTACTCAAATTAGTACTTACGGTTCTAAAACTTTAATTTTGAACCTCGGTCTTAGGAGAGAATTCAAATGGAAATTTTGTGTCGCAGATATTCAACGTCCTATTTTAGGCGCCGATTTCCTTTGTCATTTTAATCTCCTGATTGACATTAAAAACAAGAAATTGATTGATAACGTTACCGGTTTATGAATACTGGAAAAATTCAAGAAGTTGCGCATTTGTCAATTTTTACCACATCTCCTGATTCTGTGTACCACAAATTTTTAACTGAATTTCCAGGACTCACCCGT